CTGCCCATGGCAGGGGATGGGACTGGATGAGATTTAAATTCCTACCAACCCAAACCATTCCAGGATTCCATGATTCTGTATGTAATACTACTCAAGCTGTAATAATAAAGGGGGTGAAACCAGAACCATTCCTGCACAGGCTTTCAGGGCTCTTCAGGAAACATCCACAGGTCACCCTCCACCCTCCACACATGCTGTATTTGTAAACTTGTATTTTTAATTTTAGTTTTCAAGCTGCACAGAAAGCGTTGGATGCAATTTCCCTTTACCCAAATGAAGGATAACTCTGCTGAGGTGAGTAATGACAGAACTTCAGCAATACAACAGGTCTGACCCAAACCCCAGGGCAGTTTGTGCTGTGGGGAGAGTGGTTGTTTTGGGAAAAACAAGTTCTGACATCATCATAGTACAGCACCTGAGGTTAGAAAACTGCTGAGAACTACTCCAGCCTGAGCATTGAATCAGAAACAGTTTTTCCATGCCCTTGTTATGCTGAAGAAAGAACAAGCCTCATTTTCCTATTGCACGACTGACATGCCTTTTCTTACTCTCAAAAAAACCCCAAACCAAAATAACTAACCTTTCCTTCCCCTTTGCTTTTCCCAGACAAGAAGACAGATCCTGTTTTTAAAGAGATGTCAGAGGATGTGAAGAATTTGAGGAAACTTGAGAAAGTCTAAGCAGCAGCAGGACTGACATGGGAGGGAGAGACATCCCCAGAGCACAACCAAGGAGCTAAGGTTACAGCCAGGGAAAACAAGAGCAGAAAGGCAGAGCCATGGGGAGGGACAAGCCACAGGAACCAGGAGATCCACTCTGCCCCCAAACCTCCTTCATGGCTGTTTATGGAACACTAGCTTATCTCTTTTTTGTAAGACTTGAACGAAATGGAGACTGCAGAGACCTGGAATGGAAGCTCAGAGACACTGTGAAAGAAGATGCTCAGGGGTGCTGGGGAACCAAACCCACCCAGGGCTGTCCCACAGTATTCCAGAGGTGCTAAACTTCCATGGGCAATAACTGTGACTCCAAAAGGGATGTGACTCTTTACAGCCAACAGGATTAACAAAACTGGAAATGAATCCTGCCACAAATGTTGACATGGAGGTTAAAACAGTTATTTATTTCTCATTCTGATGGGCAAAAAACTAGGATTTGTAAGGAACTCTGAAGTAATCCCAGAAGACAAGATTTTTGCAAGGAACAGGACCTGAGTGTTCCTTTAAAGGTCACTGTCTCTGAACAACTCCCCATACATCTCTGTGAAGAGCTGACCTGGGACTTGCAGCTCTTTGCCCTTTGTCTGCACTGCTCACCATCCCTTTGAGGGCTGTTAGATGGGATCAGTTGGGACCTGAGTGAAAATAATCCCAGCCCACTGCTCAGTGTCACTGGACATGTAAAATCCAGGAGACTAGAAATCATCACAGAACTCACTGACAACTCTTGAAAGAACCATTACAATCTGCTCAGGAGCTTCAATCAGCTCTAGCCACAAAAGGCAGTATCAAAAGCAACCCCAGAAATACAGAATACAAAATCTGAACTGGGAAAAAAAGGATGTTCCCTTAGAAAAAGTTCATTTAAAGGCACTAAAATAACAGAAACTACTTTTTAAAGGTGTAAATTAAGGATGCATGTGACTAATTAGAACCATCCAGTGATTAATCATCATCATCATGAGTCTTTTTATCCATTTGTTCCCTGATTCTATCAGTTTCTGCTTCTGAAGGGCCAACTCTGCTTTGAACCAGATGTGCAGAATGACAAATGAGAAATTCGATTTATGTTTTTTTCATACTCGCTAACAACACTTCTAATTCACTTAAAAAACATCCAGGCTGGAAAATTAAAAGCAAATGATCAATGCCTGAGGTTTCTCTGTGGTGAGAAGCTTCATAGTGAAGGATTTGCTGAAAACAGCAATAACTGAATCCAAACAAGTTCAAAATAACTCTTGAGGAACCAACGCAGTGAGACAAACTGTCTCCAAAACTGATATAGATTCAGAAGTACAGAAAGTTACCAGAAATCAAAAGATACAACTTTGGAGAATGTGAAAAAATGTTGAAACTATAGCAAAAGAGGGAAAATGTGGAGTGTGAAAAAAATCCTCACTCTGCAGTGAAATAATAAAACATGAAGGAAGACCAAGAATTTTTTCTCATCATCAACTTCCTACACACACTTAAACCAGTAATAAATCAGTTTCAAACACATCCAGAGCAGGAAGGCAAAGCCTCTCCTTGGAAAATATCTGGTCAAGGTAGGAAAGTCACATTTAAAACTCCAGCAGAAAATCCCCATGAACTTCCCTTGTGCCTGTTTTATCACAGAAGGACCACAGGGGTTGTCATCCTGCTGGAACCATTGCAGGGTTCAGCCAACAGGGGATGTGTGCAAGGACCTGTGTCCAACTGAGTAGCAGAGATGATAAATTAAAGGGAATAAAAATACTACAAGTGTATTAAGAACAGAAGGTGTTAATGCAAAAGGCTTGGGGGGAGGTAAAGAGGGACACGATTCATTGCCTGATCGAATCAGAAGAATAGATGAAAACATCCAAATGTTTCTAAAAAGGATCCACAGAACTACAAACCAGTAAGTCCTCAGGTACAAACTTCAGCTCTGCATCAGAATTAGATCAGACTGAGAGAGATTTTTGCTGTACAGTCAAAGCATCATAATCCTGGCAACTAAATATTTAATTTTTAATCAGGTCTCTAAAATCTACATGATCTCACTGCATCCACCCAATGCAAAGAGATTCCTGAAGTTTTCTGCATATTTATTTTCCAATTAGAATGTTTTAGTTTTAAGAAACCTATGGGACTTGCTATTTATGAATCATAGAAGGTTAAGGGGTTGGAATGGACCTCAGAAACCATTCAGCCCCAAGCCCTGCCCTGGGCAGAGACACCTCCCACCAGAGCAGGTTGCTCAAGGCTTGATCCAACCTATTGCTGAAATCTGATGCCATGAACCACAGCAGCCTCAGAAATAAGGATTCTGCCTACAGACACCACCACAACGTTGTACTAGATCAATTATGTAAGATTTATGCTTTTAAGGAACTGAGGAGCATCAACTTTCCTCTTTCCACGTTAAATACGGAAACAAAGCAAAATCCCAACTCCCCTATTTCCACTGCTGTCATTCCAACTTGGCAGTTTCAAGAGAATGGGATTTTTCCCATGACAACATGTGACAATGTCACAATCTTTTAACTTATTCTTTTCTTAAGCTCTTGGGGAACTTCCAAGCACAATTCCCCAGTTGGCTGCGATGTTAAATATTCTCTGTCTCATAAATGGAATTTAATGAAGGTTCTGACTTGAAGCCTCTTTTCATTCATCTGAACTAAATGAAGATCTCACTCCCAGAATTAAAACATCTCTCTAATAGTTATCTGTGTGCTGGAGAGAAGAATTGCTCCACAGGTATTACTACAGCATCATCAGAAAGTGAATCCTTTGGAAGCAACAGACTCTGCTCAAGTAAAGACCATGACAGAGAAGCACCTGCACACTGGGAGAGGGAAGGAAGAATGCAGAGATGGACAGAAAATCTCCCAAGATCAGAGCCTTGTGTAGACAGAAAAATTCCAAGTAAGTAGCATTTAACAGACAAATGGAAATGGTGAACCAAGTAAGTAGCATTTAACAGACAAATAGTAACGGTGATGATCTGAATTTAAAACCTCAGATTTGGGATTTCTGTACCTACTGTCTATGGGCCCCAGGAGACAGACATAAGAGAGTGAAATTCATTGCAGAATGAAATGTTTTTCATCACTTTGCATCCTCCCAGGCATGAAAAGGATTGCTTACACTTGCTGAAGGCTCTCAAACACCAGCCTGGGATCACACTGCCTATTGCCTTTGCCACGGTGATTCAATGACATCAGGAAC